ACTACGTGTAGCCGTGACACATTCAATGCCGTGGGTGCGGGAGAGGGCGCGCTCCGATCGACCAACTTGAAGATCTCTGACCAGACTCTAAGCGTATCGAGTAGGTCCTCACTACACACCTTCAGGTGCACAGGATGCCCTCACCCAAAACTATTAGCTCGGCTACCTTTTCGAACCCAGGCTTGTCGCAGTCGCAATCGACATCGCCATACCGCCGCGAGCAGACCCTCCACACCCATCAATTACATCCGTTGGGTTCACCGCAATACCAGCAAGACCACCATCGACAGCAACAACAGCCGTCTTATCAGAAGCAGCACAGACTTTCCAGATCCTTCCCCTCGTCACCGTCTTCAAATCACCTGGCTGCCCCCCGCTACCCGATCGGCACAGGCTCCGACCGACCGCAGGCTCCAGTCTCATCTTCGCTTGGTTCTCGTCTTGACACAAGCACGACCATTTCGCGCAAAACGCCGTCACCACTTCCACGAACATCGTCTCTTCTACCGCCCCCGCAACAGCCTGGAACTCACTTTCCGACAAAAAAGCCCGATGCCGTGATCCCCGAAGACCCTAACATAAACTCGCTATTGCACTACGAAGTGTCTTCGTATCTCCGGCCCTCCACAGCCCACTCGCGTTCGAGCAGTGCAGACGGTGCGAGAAATCTCAATCGCTGGTCTGCCTCGACAACCTCAAGCCAAGTGTCGACCCTGGACCATCGCGCCATCAACTCTTATGCACGCCGTGTGAGCATTGATGCGTCTGCACTGCCCGCGACTAACAGCATATCGGCACCTAGTCAGCCGAGTCAAAGACTCCCGAGACACCGACGACGATCCAACTCTAGCGACGGCTCTTGGGGAATTGACAGTGGAAGCAAGTTGCTCGCCTATTCACCTTCTGGATTGACGCATACCGAAGGTCATTCTACCCTATTCACATCCCATAATCACAACTCATCCGCAACGAACAAGCTCTCAACCCAAGGAAACGGCTTGCGAGCGCCAACGGGTTCCTCCCGTGCGCTCGAGACTGACCTCGTTACTGCTCAAAGCCAACCCTGGGATGCATCCTCCGGCCCGGGGCGGAGAGGATCAACTGAACAGCGTCGACAGCAGTCGTCTCGCGCAGCAATGCCATCCGAACGCAATGGGGAGGCCTACGAGACGAAGGGGCACTCCCGCAATTGGTCGCAGGCCGCAAAGGGAAGTACCGACACCACTGGGTCCTCGCGAGGCAAAGAAAGGGGAAACCGGCCGCCATCGCAAAAAGCTATGCTTTCACGAGCCTTACAAAAGGCGAATACGGCAGTTCAGCTAGATAATGCGCAGAACTTTGAGGGTGCGAGGCATTCATATGCGGAGGCATGTGAGCTGCTGCACCAGGTGCTTGCTAGGACATCGACCGAGGAGGACAGACGAAAGTTGGAGGCGATCGTGAGTTTCACGGTGTCATGTTTTAAACGGCCGAAACCAAAGCTAACCAGACAAAGCGTCGAACATACACCAGTCGCATTGAAGAATTGGATCAAATGGTTCCCGTCCGGCAAGTTACAGACGGCAAAGCGCTGCCAGCTAGACCAGAAAGCCTGGGCCTGCGCTTGAATCCTACCTTACAGTTCGACGACGACGATGAAGATTTGGAGGATACGGACGGGTTAGAGACTGCGACACTGACCAGAATATTGAGGGAGGGAAACCAAGCAGCCAGCTACAGTGGTTCTGGTCTGACCATCTCACGAATGCATGGTCTGGGGGATCGACAAAGGAGTGCTTCTGCAAGGTTGCCGGAGCAGTATCCTTTGCAGTCCTCATTCTCGCGATCTCCGCTTCGGGATCGTGCATCAGATGATCAGCTCATCTTCCAAATACCCACAGACGACGCCTACATGCCGCCGCCACTCTCACCGAGACGCCTCTCGTCACCCAAGCCTGACGGGCAAGGTAGTCCCGATGGACCCATCAGATCAGACTTCTCCCTATCGGCAAGACGGACTAGCCAGAGTTCTCGACATGTCAGAGACTCAAGTCGCGAGTCCAATTCATGGTTGGACCCCATTGATGAGTCTGGAGGCTCCACGGCGTCCTCTGTTCATTCTAGGTCGTCATCTGCAGTTATCAGGCGCAAGCACATACGTGCCCCGAGTGGCGCTACGGAAGCAGAGTTTGACGCGGCGTTAGACGCCGCAGTTGAAGCAGCCTATGACGATGGGTATGAGCCGACGGGCTTTTCTGATCCAGAAACTCAAGGATCAGATGATCCGATTGTAGCGAAAGCCTTGAGAAAGGTTGAGCTGGCCAAAGAGCGGGTTCGCCAAACGGAGAGAGAAGCTATTGAACAAGCCAATGAGAGAGAGCGGCTTGCGCGAAGTCAAATGGATCAGCAGTCCGACGAAGATGTCGTCCGCGAAGGCTTTTTCGATGACGGATCATCAGACGAAGAGGAGCGCATCCTTGACGAAATCACTCGAGACTACTCGGTTGACGATTTCGCCTTTAACCTAGCCTCTCATCAGGCTGCAGCTAGGACTTCGGGTTCGAGTGATTTGGTCCAGTCGTCCTGGCAGGCATCCGCTCCTCCAACCGATGATGCCTCAGGTGGCGATGTTTTCTCCCTTATCGAGCCCACCGGCACAAACAACTTTCCAAGTGTCGGAGGCCCTGCAGCTCCTCCACCTGCACAAGCTTTGCCAGAATTGCCTGGCAAGAAGCCTTTATCAGGGACGACGTCATCGCCAGGGCCTGGACAAAGTGTACGAAACAGGCGGATGTCCGGACAAAATCCTAAGCAACTGAAAATTGAAACTACCAAGCTTGCAAAGTATACCGATGCTGGTCGACGATACAGTGTTGCCCAAGCGTCGAGTGGAATACAGGGGCTAGACTTCGCACACCCTAATGTCAACGGACCTCCTGATACTGATGCGGATGGCTCAATGGCTCGGCCATATTCGCCGCCTGAAGGTATCAGTCCAACCCAACCAGTGCCTCCTACACCTCCCCTTGGCCAGTCAAGAAGTCGGGACAGTGAAGACTTTACTGGCAGCCACTCTGGCTCGCCTTCTTTTCGACCTACGTTAAGAAAGAATTTCTCTTCCTCAAGCTTAAGAAGCATGAAGAACCGGAACATGTCTTTATCGAACCTGGACGATGCATCTGACATGTCTCCTGGCACCCCATTAAGTACTGCTTTTGGCATCAATGGCAGGCATCCGGCGATGCCAACCTTGCCGACACCCTTGGCGGCTGCTTTCAAGGAGAAGTTCACACCAAGTTCTACTGGGGGTCTTTACCTATTTGACGATGGCCTTCATTCACCACAGAGCCCGGGATCTCCAAACGCACTTCAACTAGATGCCCCAATTCCCCTAGAGCCGTGCCCAACAGACTACATGCTGAGGCCATTTTGGCTAATGCGATGTCTTTATCAGACGCTTGCTCACCCTCGCGGAGGATATCTCAGCAACAAGCTATTTGTTCCACGCGACGTATGGAAGGTGAAAGGCGTCAAGATTCGAAATCTGGAGGATAAAGTGGCAACGTGCGACTACCTGACAGCCGCGCTATTAAAGCTCGCGCGAGTCGACACATGCGACGCGGATGCCGTTCTTGAAGAGATGCAGGCTTTGGAGGGAATTCTCGAACAAGTGCAAGTCGGGCTGACACGGAAACTGGGCACAGATGTGGGTGTGCAAAACTCCAGCATGCTATTTCGAGACGCTTCGAACTCCGCAGAGCTTGAAGCCGCAATCAGCGTGCCGCGTTCAGCCAGTGTGTCGGGAAAGTCCTCATCCTTCTCGTGGCGGAGGCTGCGGTCCAAGAATTCGGCAGCGGGCTTGAACAACTCTTTTAATGCCAAGGGCAACGGGGTAGAGAGCGGCAAGGAATCTCCAGGACTAGAAACTTTGCCCATGACGGAACACCCAACAAGTCGCCCCTCTAGAAGGGATCCGAGCAACGCTCAATTTTCAGGGCCGAATGCGAACTATATGGGGTCGCTGGCTCGACTGTTTGACGCTGCTCAAACGATTGGTAAGGTGACCAATAGCTTTTGCCAGGCTATAACTGACATTCTGATGCAGACCAAATCGCGCGCCAGGTTGAAGATCCAGGCCTTCGGCATGCCGACAAGACACAGGTTGGCCTCGAGCTGTGCACACGACATGCGGCAGAGTTTTTTGGATTCTTTATCTGTCGGTTTGTGTTGTCTGACCTGAGCCTCCTCTTAGATAAATTCATCAAGAGGGGAAGCGAGTGGGTTCTCAACTGAGGTAACGAAGCATGAGCCACGCAGCACGAACTGTTTGTATGCATATGGCAAGCAAGCCATGGACGCATGATGCAAGACTAGTAAAGGGCAGCCGAACGGGCTGCCAAGGCAGTTGTTTCCAATCAACAGTCCATAACTGGGGTTAGAAGGTCTGATGTTAAGATAGAATCTGAAGCGGGATGGGGCAGCGGATGGTTGCATATGCGAGCCTGCTTGCTTGTGCTGGATTCGAAGTTTTCAGATTCCAAAAGATACCTCAATATTTTAACATTAAAACGAGACTAACCCGATATTCACGTAAGACTTCGGTGATGTCGCAAGGCGAGCTTCTAATATCAGTTATCGTGCGGACATGGGCATGACAATGTTAGGTGGCTCCGGTCTGGCTCCGTCGCCTGCGGATGTGGTACGAGAGGCGGACGGACCACAGCTCGTCAGGAACATGGTACCAGTTTGCCGGGTTCAGTAATACCCGATCTAAGGGCTGACTGTCGGATGCTTGTGTATGACCCGCACAAGCTTTAGTACCTACTTTCCCTGATGTTGACAGGCTGTTAAGAGCGTAGCGTCTACTGATTCCTAGGTAAATACGAAGTACACCAGGCTCGATGATAGGTGGCAGTGTGCGTGCCTCGGTACCTTTAAAGTACCGTGTCCACGTGGTAGACCATGGGTGCTCCAAGGACCCCGTACCTCAGGTACCTTGTCTTGCTTAGTGCACCGTTCGTCTCAGCTGTCTCTGCACTTGGTGAGAAAAGAGCCATAGTCCAATGAGTTGAACGCCCCAAGCCAACTACCGACGACATCTATCACACGCCTCGCTCGCCCCTGGGACATTCGAATCCCGAGCTTGGATCTGCTCGATGCAGAGGATCATACCTTGATGCGCGGCCCCTCAGCGACGAGCGTGCGCTTTACGCAGGACCAATTGGTCGGTATTCCACGCCAATTGCCACGATTTCCCTTGTCGAGCAAAACGGCGCGTATCTCCTTGCAAGGCAATGTTCCTGCACAACGGTCATGGCAGTGGAAGACGTTGAAACGGAGTGGCATCGATCACAAAAGATCATTTCACTGCGGCACGCCGACCTTCGCTAAGCCTGCGGCGCCGTCGCGGTCTTCACTCGAGGAGCGAATACTTTCGATTCCGATCGAACGATACCGCAACTTTTGTATCGTGGCCCATATTGACCACGGCAAGAGTACCCTCAGCGACCGCCTCCTGGAGATCACCGGTACAATATCTGCCAGTGATGCAAACAAACAAATTCTCGTGAGTTCGTGTCTGGCCGTATGGCTGCACATTAAGTAGGGCTTAAAGCTAATGGCTACCTGTCATTTCGCAGGATAAACTGGATGTCGAACGTGAACGGGGCATTACTGTCAAGGCGCAAACTTGCACCATGATATACAACTACAAAGGCGACGACTACCTCCTGCATCTCGTTGACACTCCTGGTCATGTCGACTTTCGAGCCGAAGTTACGCGATCGTACGCCAGTTGCGGTGGTGCTCTGCTGCTAGTCGATGCTAGTCAGGGTATCCAGGCTCAAACTGTCTCTAATTTCCATCTTGCATTCGCCCAGGACCTGGCTCTCATTCCTGTTGTCAACAAGATTGACATGCCCTCCGCCGATGTACCGAGGGTCCTCGAGCAGATGCATACGTCTTTTGAATTGGAGCCCTCGACGGCTGTTCTTGTATCGGCCAAGACTGGCAAGCACGTGGCCAACATCCTCCCCGCCGTTGTAGAGAAGATCCCGCATCCCGTGGGCGATGTTTCGAAGCCTTTGCGTATCCTGTTGGTAGATTCTTGGTACGACAACTTCAGGGGCGTGATTCTGCTTGTGCGCATCTTTGATGGCCAGGTTAAGGCTGGCGACAATCTCATCTCATTTGCCACTGGTCACAAATACACCGTTGGCGAGGTCGGGATACAATACCCCAATGCTGTCCCACAAAGTGTTCTTCGTGCTGGACAGGTAGGCTACATCTACTTCAACCCTGGTATGAAGCGCATTCAAGACGCCAAACTCGGCGACACCTTCACCACCGTCGGATCGGAGGACATTGTCCAGGCGTACCCGGGTTTCGAGGAACCCAAGCCAATGGTCTTTGTCGCAGCCTTTCCCACCGATCAGGGCGACTACACGCGCCTCGCAGACAGCATCAGCCAGCTTGTTCTGAATGACAGGAGCGTGACCTTACAGAAGGACTATTCCGAGGCATTGGGGGCAGGCTGGAGACTAGGCTTCCTGGGCAGCTTACACTGCTCTGTATTCCAGGATCGGTTGAAACAGGAACATGGCGCCAGCATCATCATCACGGACCCGACTGTGCCGACTAAAGTTGAATGGGCTGATGGGACCGAGACGATCTATCAGAACCCGGCCGACTTCCCCAGTCAGGACGAGCACCGGATGCGTGGTGCAACTGTCTTGGAACCGTAAGCTGACGTCTTCTCTAATTTCTATTTGTCCTGCGGTTGACCTTGTCTTTGTTAGTTTCGTTACTGCTACTATGACTCTTCCAGAGGAGTACCTCGGCCGTGTCATCGAGCTCTGCGAGAGCGTGCGTGGCGAGCAAAAGAGCTTTGAATTCTTTCATGCCACACAGGTTATCCTCAAATACGATATCCCTGCAGCTCAACTCGTCGATGACCTATTTGGTAAACTCAAAGGAGCAACGTAGGTTTGGCTTCCTTCCCTCACTTTGGACTTTTTTCCTGACGGCCAGAATAGAAAGGGATACGCGACACTAGATTATGAAGACTCTGGCTGGCGAGCGAGTCAGCTCACGAAGCTGCAGCTTCTTGTCAACAAACAGCCCGTGGATGCCATTTGTCGTGTTATCCATACCTCACAGGCAGAGCGCCTCGGCAGGCAGTGGGTGACTAAATTCAAGAATCACGTCGATCGGCAGATGTTTGGTGAGTCCTCTGTATAGCGCACCAGTATTACGACAGCATCTTCTAACATGACGCTTTGCAGAGGTCGTTATTCAAGCGGTGGCGGGCAGGAAGATTGTTGCACGCGAGACTATTAAGCCATTTCGAAAAGATGTGCTTGCAAAGCTACATGCTTCCGACATTACGCGCCGGAAGAAATTGTTGGAGAAGCAAAAGGCCGGCCGCAAGCGACTTCGCGCCGTCGGCAACGTTGTCATTGATCAGTCTGCTTTCCAAAGCTTCCTCTCCAGGTGAGCGCGCCAATTGTGGGGTATCGAATACGGAACACGTTTGTACAAAAGTTGAGGAGAAAAAGGACCCCACGGGGCCTATGTATGTGTATGAGGACAGGGAAACTTGGTCTAATAATAATCATGCCCAAGCTTAAGTGGTCCCTTCGATCTAGAGAAGTTTGGCCACTGGGGATATATCTTTCCTGGTCGAGACTATTGCCAATATCCCAGCGCCTATGGTCGCCTCTGGCATGAATAGTGTCTGCTCTCCTTCACGACGGTGCCAACCCGCCAAGAGCCCCAGGCCTCCTCTTCGCGTCGTGTGACTGAGACCGCCACGATGTATACTTGGAGTAATCCATATACTTGGGTCCTTTCGCAGATGTCATAATCGCTATTTGACTTCTCCTACTTCAAATGCAAGGCTTATGGCGGAGTCTCCGAGGCTGGCGGCAATTCCGAGCCGATGACTACAGGTTCCGTCCTCGACTTGCCAAGACCACCCCTCAGAGTTGAGTCGGATTGTTGAAGCTGGAAAGACTTCCCTAGCGCTTCGCTCTTTTCAAATTCGAAGATCCTATAGTCGGCGTTGAAGAACCAATAACCCGTCACGCCGGCGCGGAGGAACCCAGAGTGGGAGACAACAAAGACAAGCTTCTCCTTGCGTTCATAGATGCTCTGCAGGCCCGACTGACCTCGGCCGAGTATGGCTTCCCTGTTGAAAGCATATTGAGCGCCGGCAGGAGGTGTTTTGTTGGGGTAGATGGGATCTACAGTTGAAAAGTCAACACCAGGAAATTCGACCTTCAAATCTGCGATAGTGCTGCCTGTGTCGCATGGCTTCGCAGAGTTTTCTACACTATAGTCAGTGGCATGGCCTAAGAGACTCTCGAGAGGCCACCCCAAATTGTAGGAGGGTGTACGGCTTATCACCTTGCCATCGAGCGTCGGCTTGAATCGACACCCCTTTCTTGATCAGCCAATCTAAGGAGAGAAGGGCTGTTTGGATCGTGCGTCTCATGGGGCTCACGATGATGATTGCATCAGTCTCATCAGCGAAACGCTGTGAGAGATTTTCCTTCAGTTCCCGACATTGATCCAAGCCAAGAGAAGATAGATCTGGGTCATGGATGTTCCAGTCCTGTAGTGTGGTGTCAGGTTGACTCGCGACTGTGAAGCTGGCTGGAAGACTCATCATCAACATTGTGCAGCGCCTGGGCATGGCGGATGAGCACGATGGTCGGCGGCATGGCGATATTTGGAAGAGTTGCTACAGGTGCACAGTTGCGTTCCCCAGATTCTAGAAGCTCTTTGTTGGACAGGTGATGCAGATGACTGAGTTCACATTTACAAACAAAAGTAGCTCCATGACGCCGGAGTGGGCAAGTCTAAGCGTAGCGGCAATACTGGAAACGGCAAGTCAGGTGGGCATGCTTTACTTGAGCTTTGTTGTGTAAGGTGCATATTTGCACCTATAAGGTACTCTGAGCTACCTACCTATGGGCGAGCTACAGCTATGGTGTACTGTGTGGATATCTAACTTCCTCCAAGCGACCCTAGCTCAACCAGTTGCGATCCCCACCCGTGCCAGCTAAGGTAACTTACTCACATACAGAAGGCACCTGAATCGACAAACGTGCCTTGCAGGTACCTCGGATTAAGCTAGGTACCTTAGTACGCTGGGCCTGGCGCAACGACACCGGGCAGCATCGCGTCTGAAAGCTTCTTGATCATCCCAAGCACACGCCTTTTACCATTGCTGCAAATTCACCCACTGAACAGCGCAACCTACCCACCAGTCACCCAAAAACTTTTTCGAAACCAATCCGAGAAAATGTCGGATGTGAACGAGTTGTTCAAAGTGAGTCGCACCATAAGCTTCCCAATCACATCCTTACTTACCAAGCACTCCAAAGTCCGGCAGTGCTGCGAAGAGGAAGCTTGATGCTGTGCGAGATCCCAGTTAGTGCCTGCCTCCATTGCCCCGTTTTGAAAAACTACATTGCCCGACAGCGAATAAGAAGTAACAGATGAATAGATGAAATATACAAGTCAGCCAAACTGAGCGCAGCTGACGCCATCAGTCGACATGCAAGCGCAGTAGACGCGGAAAGAGACGATAGCGATTTCACTGCCGGTCTGCAAAACCCACCCGAAGATGGCGAAGACGGAGACTATGGCCCAGAGATGCCACCAGACGACGACGATGAGGGACGATTCTTTGGCGGGGGTATCACAAAGCAGGAGTCTGAGATCCTCGACTTCGTAGATGGCCATGGCGAGGAATCATCCGCTCCTGAAAAGATCGATGCTGGCTGGGTACGAAAAACGGCCCTAAACTTTGAGAAGCGCATCACGCGAAATGCTGAGCTGCGCGCAAGGTTCGCCGACGAGCCTCACAAGTTTATTGAGAGCGAGGCCGATCTCGACGCTGCCATAAAAGACCTCTCGATCCTGTCCGAGCACCCCGAATTATATCCCCAATTCGCCAAGTTGGGATGCGTTGAGAGCCTCGTCGGTTTGCTGGCCCATGACAACACAGATATTGCGATTGATGCGGTGGAAATCATCGGCGAGCTCATTGACGAGGACGTCAATGCAGCGGATCAGGATTGGGATACTCTAGTGGATGCGTTATTGACTGCAGACCTCATCGGCTTGCTAGTGTCCAACTTCTCGCGTCTGAACGAAGAGGATGAGTCCGACCGTGGTGGTATATATCACGCTCTTGGAGTTGTTGAAAGCCTGCTGTCCAAAACGGCGAATGCTGAAAAGGTGGGACAGAACACCACGCTGGTCAAATGGCTACTTGACAGGGCGCAGCGCCAAGAGACACCCGTGTCCCAAAACAAGCAATATGCTACGGAAATTCTCGACATCATTGCGAACGCATCGCCAGCAACAAGACGGACACTCACCGAGATGGATGCCGTCGAGGTTCTACTCCAGCTGGTCTCTGCGTATCGTAAACGTGACCCCGAAAAGGGGGGCGAGGAGGAAGAGTATATGGAGAACCTCTTCAACGCCCTCGTCTGCATTGTGGATGAGCCAGAAGGCAAGGCCAAGTTCCTCGAAGCCGAGGGCGTCGAATTATGCCTGATCATGCTCAAGGAGGCTAAGATGAGCAAGCAACCGGCAATGCGTCTACTTGTACACAGCGTCGACGAGGATATGAGTGGGCAACTATGCCGAAAATTAGTAGACGCTGGTGGGCTGAAAGTGCTCTTCTCCATTTTCAAGAAGATGAGCAAAACCCAGAGGCAGATGGCAGAAAGCCTGTTTGATGTATTCAGGTCCTTGCTACGATTCTTGCCCGCCGACTCTGCCGAGAGAATCAGGACATTAGCTAAATTTGTGGAGAAGGACTACGAAAAGCTCGATCGGCTCTACGAGTGTCGGAGGAGGTATAGTTCCATGTTGGATGCACAACAGGAAAAGATTCAGCAAGAGCGAATTGGCATGAGCAACGAGGAAATTGAGCTCTCGGAAGGCGAGTGGTTCATGAGGAGGATCGAGGAAGGCCTTTACAGCTTCTGGAACATCGATGTTGTCCTGGCCTGGCTCATAGCCGAAGATTCTGGTGCTAGAAGGAAGGTGCAGAAGCTTTTGGCTGATGAAGGGAAGGGTCTATCAGCCATCAAAGCGACGTTGGAAGAATACCGATCTGACCTCAACCTGGAAAAGCCCGAGCACAAGGATCTCTCCGATATGCTCACCACTCTCGTGGACTTTTTAGTTTAAGAGAAAGAAGTTAAAGACGAAAAAGAGGGAGAAGTAGAAAAAGGGAAGGATAGGCTAGCAAAATACAATTTTACCACAGCTACCTGATCTATGTAGGTGCGATTCTCCAAAGTTCCGGTCACACCGCGCAAATAATTTGCGCTTCAGTCTGCTGTCCTGGCTTCGCGCGTCATCGGCAATCAGTGAGCGCGTCCTCGCCATCCTCTTCCCTCCTCGGACAAGAGTGCTGGCTTCATTTCTCTTCGTATGCTCCGCATAGCGTGTCCGATCCACTCGTTATCAATATGCTTTGATGCTATGAAGCATGCTGATAATGGCTCATGCGGCAGTCGGCGCGACAGGCTTCACCTCGAAAACGGCCTTCAGGAGGTCAGCTACGACCTTGTCCTGGCTCTTCTTTCCGGCCCCCTGGATCTCCTTGATCTTTCCTTCGGCCTCCTTGTTCGCCTCGTCCTCGGCTGCTTTGTTTCCTTGGGAGTGCTAGGGAATTATCAGCACCACGATCGTTTCGAAGCGGTATCGGTATCCACGACAGATATATATACCTCAGATTCGAACTTCTTGAACTCGTCCTCCTTAGAGTTGCGGTATGCCTCGATTTCCTTCTTGGCCTCGTCTCGGGCTTCCTTCACCCGCTTCGTACGGACTATTTCGATATTGCGTGAGTATGTCATAGTCGCAGCAGGATTGATCGGCATCGAAACCTACACTCGCGGGCTAGATAGGGTTCAGTCATCAGTCAACCGGTCACTTCAACATGTACCATTGTGCATACCTTTTTGGACAATCTTAGAAGCTTCCCTCTCTGCCTGCATCGCTTAGGTCAGTGACAATTCGATATGGAGTGTCGCGATGGAGGGCACGTACGTCCAGGAGGGTCTGGATACCAGCTGAGTTCTGAGCCGACTGTAGAGTGCCAAATCAGCTTGCTGCAAGTTGAGGAGATGACGTTCCTATCCGCGTCGCACGTCCTCACCATTGTGTAGTATTGTTGCAGGTGTAGCTAGCGGAGAAAGCAACGTAGGATGATTGCGCGATTCGAGACGGCTGGCCGATTGATATCACAAGGAGCGAATGCAGGAGATGCGTTGAAGCCGTAGGTAAGGTAGTTGTCAATAATCACAAGTAACAGGAGGCGACTAGGAAAGCTGGGGTGCGCTGGTGACGGAGTGAACGTAAGGCGAGGTACCTACTCCAGCTAGGTGCCAAGGAAGGTCACAGTGCACAACCGTAGCGCCGCGAGCACTGTACCTCCGACCTCGACCCTCCACCTCAAGCTCCCGTCTCTCTTCTACCTACCTACCTTGCCACGCTTGGTATCCTCTCAGGCAGTGGGGTAAGGAGCTAGCGGGGACGCTGACAGATACAGGTGAGGCACCCGCCTCAGGCATTTGTGTACTACCTACCCTAAGGTACTGCGTAACGTGCAACTAGACATCTGCTCTTGCGAGTCGAGGCGTGTAGTGTGCTCTGCAATGCCTGTGTTGAAGACGATAATTGCGTGAACCTAACTTGCGGTAGATATCTTGGAACCAGCAGGTACGCAACGACGTTTGTTGGCCCCTGTTTTACGGATAATTGCAGTCGAATCGAGAACTGAGTGAACCAACACCGACGCGGCGGATGCTGTCGCTCTCGGGGAGAGATTCAAACACCGAAATCGAACCACCAACATCACCAGAGTTTTGATAATCCCCTGTTCAAGATTTGCAAACCGTTCGCTTCCACAAGCCACCCACACGTTCGGCCATCGTCTTCCAACAATGTCCAGGGCATCGAAGCTTACGCTGGCCGCGACATCGCTGTTCGCCGCTAGCACCATTGTCGTGGTCCATTTCCAACAAAAGTTCGAAAAAGAGGCATGTACCACCTTGGATCATCAATGCTGCCGTAGGAATCTGTATCTAAAGGAGAGTGCTTAGGCCATGCATCAAGGAGTGGTACGCGACATCGAACAGCAGCGCATCAAGCGAGAACGCCAACTCGACTTCGACATGCAGCGCGCTCTCGAGGAGGACTACAAGCGTGAGCAGACCGTCAGAGATGCGACGGCGCCCTCACAACCCAGCGCAAGTGGCATACAAACATAATCTGTAGCCGATAGTCTGTCTTGTCTGTACCCGACAGCTAGGCAATACGAAGACAGGGCCGGATCGACGGGGGGAAGAAAACACGGCGCATTTGTATGATAAAGAGATGAGCAGAGGGCCTCGGAAACGAGGAATAGTACCCATGAGTTCCTCTCACTGTTGAGGATAGAAAAAGCTGGAGAGATGGCATGACACTAAACGGGGGCATTGCATCACAATCAAGGTAAAGTAATCGCCAAAATGTTGCGAAGCCACGCGTGGAAAAGCCTACTACTGCGGTGTCGCACGCCCATACATATCAGCGAGATTCGCGTTGACCAGGAACAATACTCAGGAAGGAAGGAGCAGATGCTACTTCATCTTCACTCGGGTACGGAGCCAGATATTCCGTTCAAATTGATACGCAGGAAATATTACTGCAAAATGCCCAAGGCTTTGGGCTTTTTTTGTGGTCACGTCGTTTCTGCCTTTGCCCATCGATTCTTAGTTTCTTTATCAATGTTTTAATGGTACATGTCATTAATACAAGACACATGGAGGCGTCATCTGCCAAGTTTTCTATGGCTCGCCCAAAGATGCGAGTGAATGGGGTGACCAGAATATAGTTCCCCAGCCTCGAAGACGCCAAATACAACCAATCACCTCCCAATACTCCCTGCCTGCCTGCTCAGCCATTCTCATCTCGCAGGCTACCTCCATGACCCGGGACTCCCGCTCGGCAACCTGTTTTTCAAATGTCCCTTTCCTCCACAGCTAGTCTCTTTATCGGATGGAGACTCCGGACCTGTTGGTAAACATGCGGGCGGCGATGTTCATTGACTGCAGCTCCTGGAACAGAAGCTTAGCTGCGTACGGAATGTGAATTTGTGCAATCTTCGTCTTGTTTTTGCACGGGCGGCACTCGAACGACTGCTTCGAGAGGTTTCTGATATCGAGTTAGTACTGCTCTGCGTGAAATAGTAGATCAAGAGAAACTTACGCGATAGGCGTCATCAGGCCGCAAATTTCGCAAACGTGAACTCGGAAAGCATCCGAGACCTCGAAAAGTCTCTCCTTGAGGAAAGAAGCCGCGCCATGAGCAATCATGCAATCACGCTCCATCTCTCCGAAACGAAGACCTCCATCACGAGCACGACCCTCCACAGGTTGCCTGGTCATGATCTGAACAGGTCCACGCGCACGAGCGTGAATCTTGTCGTCCACCATGTGGCGCAGACGCTGGTAGTAAGTCGGTCCGAAGAAGACCTGGGCTCGCAGCTTCCTGCCAGTGTGACCATTGTACATGATCTCGAATCCTCTCGATTGGTATCCTTGATCTCGGAGGAGCTGCGAGACTGAGTCGACAGTCACATCTGTGAAAGGAGTGGCATCGCCTTCCATTCCCTTCAATGTCGAGACTTTGCTGAGTAAACACTCGATCAAGTGAGCAATGGTCATGCGAGACGGAATTGCGTGGGGGTTGATGATGATGTCCGGCGTGATGCCCTCGCCAGTAAAGGGCATATCTTCTTGCCGATAAGTGACACCAATGGTACCCTTCTGGCCGTGACGTGAGGCAAACTTATCACCAATCTGTGGAATCTTGGTTGTTCTGACACGGACCTTGACGTAACGGAGGCCGTCTTGGTTGGTCGTCACAATGACCTGGTCTACAATACCGTTTTCGGTACTTCTGAGTGGGGTGGAGGCGTCGCGCTTGACATGCTGCGCCGTTCGCTGGCCCATCTCAGCGTTGTCCGGGCTTATGGGCGACGTCTTTCCGATAATGATATCTTCACCCGAGACACGAACTCCCGGTGCTACAATGCCATCATCATCAAGCTTGTCGTAGGTGCCATGCTTCAAGCGTAAGGTATCGCTTCTGAAGGGCTTCTCAAACTGCTCAACAAGATTGATACCCACGCGTTTCTCGCAGTCAGTGTACGATCTGAAGAACAGACTTCTGAAAAGGCCACGATCGATACTACTCTGATTCATGATCACGGAATCTTCCTGATTGTAACCAGAGTAGCAGGCAATAGCAACGACGGCGTTCTGTCCGGCTGGAAGCTCTCTGAACTTGAGGAATTCCATGGACCGCGTGGTAGCCAGCGGCTTTTGAGGGTAGTAGAGAATGTTGGCCATCGTGTCCATTCTGCGTGAGTAGTTGGTCAAGAAGAAGCCCATGGCTTGCTTGCCCATGGCGGACTGGTAGGTGTTACGAGGTGACTGTGGAAGGCAACAGTCAGTGCTTGATTATCAAATAAAAGCAGGGATTGGCATACCTGGTTATGATCGGGGAAGGGAATGATGCTGGCGCAAATTCCCAGGAGCATGCTGGGGTGGATTTCGCAATGAGTGTACATGTGTGTTGTGGGATTGATCTTAGTCTTCAGACGGCTATTGGGGCCATCGGTGTTGTCCTCGACCACTTGACCTTGCTTCTGCAATCTGTAGATTTCCAGATCCTCGGGCGTCATGCAAATCATGGCTGTCTCTTCTTCCTCGGCATCGAGATATTCTATAACTCCGCTGTGGGCAAGAGACTCCCAAGTGATTTTGTCAACCGGGTTATCTGGAGGGTTCTCCTGCTGCTCGCGCATTTCGTTGACCGTTGCCTTTTGCAGTACGAGCGATCCCTGTGCTACTATGCCGTTGGTACCTTGCTCTACGACGAAAACGGGTCTCATGACTCTGCCGGCGTCGGAAAAGATCTTGAACTCGCGGTCTCGGATATCACGGACGAGCGACACTTCGTGGGAAATAACGTTTCGCCGGCGGGTGCCCTGAACATCAGGAACCAAAATTCTTGGGTCTTGGTGCACGCCAACCCAGACACCATTCAGGAAGACCTTGGTGGCGTTGGGATACCTCAGTGGCTCGTACTCCTCGAGAACCTCCATGCCTCGCTGAATCATGTAGTCGATGATGGGTTCAGCGGGCGTACCGACACTCACATAACACATGAGAGACAGGTTCTTGACCAGACCACAAGCTTGACCTTCCGGCGTCTCAGCCGGGCAGACCAAACCCCAGTGCGTGTTGTGAAGTTGCCGGGGCTTTGCCAGCTTGCCGTCACGACCAATGGGCGTATTTGTGCGACGAAGATGAGATAGCGTAGACGCAAAAGTGTAGCGGTTCAATACCTGAGACACACCAGCCGTCGAGCTCGCGGCCTTCTTCTGATCTCCCCAGTTACCAGTCGCCAAAGAGTATTTCAATCCATTGGAAAGAGTCTGCGGCTTCACACCGAGAGTAAGACTGAATTGCCGGTTAGACTCGACACAGCGCTTGAGATGGCCAGATAGCTCCTGGTTCATGCGGCGGACGATGTTGCGGAATAGTTTGGCGAGAAGGGGACCGGCGAGATCAAGGCGCTTTTTGCCAAAGTGATCACGATCGTCGGTATCGCGTCGACCTAAGGCGCATTGAAGCAGCTTGTGGACCATGTATCCCAAGAAGAATGCCTTCCTTGTCTCACTGCCTTCGCTCTGGGAGATATGCGGCAAAGTTTCCTTTTGAAGAATGTCTTTGGCAGTTCTCACGCGCTTTTCTCTGGGAATGTTGTGGTTGCTACCACGCTTGCCGATGAAGTCAAGGGCAACCTCTCTGTCCTGGATACAGAAAGCCTCCTCGATGCATGGCCGCAACATCTCGAGCATCTGGCTATCATTTCGGTCATAGCAAATATGATTGAGGATATCCTCGTCGGATACCACGCCCAGAGCTCGGAAGACGATGGCGATCGGCAGATCGGCCTTGACATAGGGCAGACTGCAGTGGATAGTCTGGCCGTATCCGCCCTTTGCGGCGTCGCCCTTGCTGTATAACTTCAGCATCATAGATGAAATGAGTCGAGAGCCCTTCTCGAGAGCGCTGCGGATCTCAGCTGTGTAGGAGTATGGACTCGGCTGGGCCTTTTTGAAAACCTGAACGATGTTGGCGGCCGATCGCTCTTGAGCAATAAGGACCTTTTCACTACCGTTGATGATGAAGTAGCCTCCCTGGTCGTAAGGACACTCGTTCAGCATGAACAAGTCATCCTCCTGCTCGCTACTCAAGTGGCAAATTTTGGACTTGACCATAATGGGCATGCGACCGATGAAAATCATGTCCTTCATATCATCTGACTTGTTTTTGTCGGCGCCATAATCCTCGCCGCTCTCCTCCTCTTCCCACTCCAACTTGGTAGGGTGCTCGCCAGTGTTTGCAAGTTCGTCCTGCTGTTCCTCGTCGAGCTCATTCAGCGGAACCGGTTTCTCTACCGCAATCGAGACCTTCTTGGTGATCTTAACATAGAGGGGACTGGCGTAAGTGAGGTTGCGGTCGCGGCATTCGTAGGGAAGTAATGTCGTAACTTTACCATCAGCTTCGGTGATGGATGGACGAGAGACCATGACAGTGCCAAATTTGACTTCGTATCGACGGAGGGCGATGACCTTGTCGCTGTCTGACATAGGATTCGGCTGGTCTAGGGTGATTTGGGAGTACTCATCGATGAGCTCTTGGACGGTTGAAGAGGTGAATTCGTCGAAGGAGTCGACCTGCTGAGAAACCAAACCCTTGGACTCGAAGAAGGAAGAGATGACGGTCCAGCAGTCTTCGGGCGTGATGCTGGTATCGTCTTCTTCGACGTACCCGTCGTAGTCGTAGTCATCGTAGTCGGCCATCTCGGAGGCGTTGGCACCTGCGTGTGCAATGACGGATGCCAGACAGGAAACGGGTTGAGTGAGCAGGAGTCGACCTTGTAATTTATTACAGTGGTGCGTCTGGTAGTCGAGTCTGCGAGCAATCGAGTTCCGGGGCAGTGTTCGACGAGCAAGAAGCGGCGAGTCGCGGTAAGAGTCAGGTTCCCACGACGATGATGATTAACAATCACGACGCAGAGCACAGGCGAGTTTGCCTCTTCAGCTCGGTTGGGGCATGAAAAGAGAAACAAAGCCAGGCGCGAGATTGGAAAACCGACTGCTCAACGCGATGCCGATTCAATATGTAATGGGTGGGTGATGCAATGGTGTACGGCCGATGCAGATGACCAGCCTCGTTGGGTGGTGGTTTTTTACTCTCTCGAAAATACAGTCTTGGAGGTAGCAGGCGCGAGAGGGTTTGAGAGGCTCAAGCCAGAACGCGGCAGGGGGCGATAGGCTAACCTCTTTTGTAATAGTGCATCTTTCCACGCTCGTGCCTTGAGGTATCCGTTGCAATTCGTACGCAGTACAGTTTGTCTGGCAGGAGCCCCACAACAGCTCCTTCCTGGCGGATCACGTGGCGGAGGCTGTTTTCCCCTCGCGGAACCTGGAGGCAACAGATGAGACACATCTTAATGAATGAAAGGACCAAATCCACAAACCTCATTGCCATCATTCAACAGGGTGGCCAACTTCAACTCATTCTGATTGGCGGTCCAGGGTAAACAGGCAGCTAATTCGACATTCATCAGGATGTCACTCTAGGTAGCCCCGATTTCGATGAACGATGGGGGTTGTCGGCTCTTTCCGCTATCCATTCCATTTCACTTTTCGCAGGCAATCCGGTTATGCAACAGGCATATTTGACGGCTATTTTGAAGAAGTCATTTCCTTTTTCCTGGATACTTCACTCACTGTACCTTATAGGAAGTTCCTGCCATAAAGAGTGATAGCAGCTTCGCCTTGTGCCCCAAAACACTTGCCAATGGAGGAAGGGTCGTGTTGATGGAAACTGATGTCCACATTTATCCGCTGGTGGTCACTTGGCACTGAAGCAACCCAACAGTACGCAGTAGGCACGAAGACTAACCTTCCTGTAAGTATAGGCCAACAAGGCCGTCAAGCACGGGAGTCAAAGTCTCAATGGCAGGAATCAATTCTGTTCGACTGGTAGTTATGAACTGATTTCCCAATCATTTCTAGACACGCTTCGAGCAATATGTTGCGCGTTGGGTTTCACGCCAGTAGCGCATACATCTACACCTCTCCAGCAGCACTGATGTCTGCATCAGTAATGGCATATGCCACCAAAGTCATCATCGATGGTCCACGTCCCCGCTAAACCTCCGACTCCAACTTCGACGTTGTGGCTAGGCTGGTCTGGTTTACCCAAGAAGAAATCGCCGCTGCCCTCAGACTTTACAGTTCTACGCATGAAGCGACGGGTCCATTCTTCGATCGCCGGCTCACCGGTCTCATCGCGCGCCTGTTTCAAGAACGGGATGAGTGCAGTACCACCTGTACCCTTCAAGTTCTTCTTTCCGTCGGCAGCCGGCAAGTTGTTACCCTGGGCGTTTGACTGACGTTGGCGAGAGGCCGTGGCCAAGTTAACACGCAAGCGCGTAGCCTCAGGACTTCTCGACCTGCTGCGAGCACGCACCTCGCGTGAAGGGAGGATGATGTAGCGAGTGACGATGGCTATGTGCTTGTCGCGGAATGCACTAAGCATGGCGAGGCATGCATCATAGGCAAGGCACAAGTCACGTTCGTGCTTGTGAGTCTCGACAAACTCGCGGATGTTGGCAATGCCAGAGACATCCTTGAGGAAGCGAGCATGGGGTCCAGGCATATACCGGCGCATCTCCATGATAAAGTTGTGCTTTGGGACCGGAGCCCTGGACTCGCGCTCCGACTCGGTTGAGGGATCCCGCTTTTCGCCCGTTGGGCGGTGATCAATGCCAAGAATGACATCGAAGAATTGTATCAGACTGCTCTGAGCATTGCTACCGCCGCTGTATTGACGGTAGTCCTCCTTTCCAGAGCCATCGTCATAGTTGACGCCGTCAGGAAGACCGGCCTCGGCCATGTTCTTGCTCCCAGCAAGAAAGGTGCGGATGCGATTGTAAAAGATGTTGGGATCACAACTCTCGTGCATACGTTGCAATATGATGGTCAGGTCGGTCAACCGCTCGGCAAAGGTGCGCAAGCTCCGTGTGACGGTCGAGATATCTCCTTGGCGAGCAGCAGCCACGGCCCCCAGCATGAGGGGGATGATGGGACCACCACGGGCCTCGATAGCGACAGAGACGAGGTAGAACCACGACTCGTCAAGAGAACCAGTAAAGGTGTTGAGAGTGGCTAGGTTCTCGAGGTTGTCAATGTCCTCGTCGATAAAAAGAGGCTTGAAGTTCCAAAGGCACAATGCGGCGTAGGTAGCAACCGGGGGCAGCTCGAGATGATTCGAGACCTTTAGGAAGGGAATGGTGATGGAGGGCGGGAGTTGATCGCAAGGCTCGTCGCCACCCCAGATGTAGGCATGAGTCATGAAAGACAACAAAGAGTAGGCTCTCCGCCATTCTGCGTCGTGTTCCAGACCGATGGTGGAGAGAACAGGCAAGCGGTCGACAACCGGACGAAGGCGGCGGCTGAGGACGAGTGCCTGTAAGTTGGCGACAATGGCCTCCCACTTGTTATAGTAGGGGTCCGGCAGCTGCGTCAACGGGAGAACGTCCGGTAGAAATCCATGGGTTGCAGAGATTCCATAGTCGGAGAGCTCGGGGATGGGGGGTAGCATAGTTGAGTGTTGTCTATATCGTGTTATTGCCTCTGTTGCGAGTGAGACGTGTTTCTGAGCGTGGTCGAGCGAGTTGCTGAGAATTCAGAAGTATCGAAAGATCAGAAATGCTCCAATGAATGGTTGCGATTTTGAGAGTTGGTTGTGATTGTGGTTCAGTGAGGTAGTAGACAGTGTTCAAAAAGGTCCTGACGCAAGGAGTATCCAGAATTTGCTGGAATACTCCTCAGCCGTGCGAAAGATCCTTGGAGCAGCAAGCATTCAACGTAATGTGAGAGCTGAGCGGAAACAGTTCCAAGTTGTTGTTAGTTCTCAAAAAAAAAAAAAAAAAAAAAAACTAATGTCGCGTGAAAAGAAACAAGAGATGGAGGTAACTTCAGCGGAAGGGGTGTGCGTGTGCCGGTTGTTTTATTTAATAATGCGCGCAGCGGTCCCCATCGGCTATGTGGGATTGGACAGGCGAAATGGGTTTCAGGGTCTCCCCCGAGACCATTTTTTCTTCTTTGCAGGTGAAGAAATGTGACGGCCGAGAGTACGGATGCAAGACTAGGTGACTACCTAGAGTGACTACCTAGGTAACTCTGCTAGGTAGGTAGTAGAGTCGAGTGTTTGTGCCGCCGCCTCCTTGGAGCGGTTAAAGCGCCCAATGCGAAACATGGACGGTACATACAATGGGTTGGCGGGGCACGTACCCCGAGCAAGTGGCACCATATGAGTGAACATGACATCCAATGATTCAATACCTTCAGAGAGAATGTGGCACCACCATGCCAATGTATCAATGAAGTAAAGCATCCAGTAGAGCGAAGACAATTTTCGGGATTTACCGTAACAACACGATTATAAGATACCCCGTACCAAGAGGAGTGCAAAGTATGCGTAGAGGCTACCAAGGTCCACGGCTTTGTAGGATACATGGCTTCTGGAGGGTTGAGAATGTAAGCAAGACGGAGAACAATCCAAGATGACAAAGCGTGTCAAACCGAATGCTAAAAGGAACTGGAGCTGGACCCGACCAACCCGAAACATGTCAGGCAAGCAAGTTGCCAGCATTGAATCAGAATGGGCCCGCTCCGTGCTCGGCCTTTCATCCAGCCAACTTGACACCATGAGATCAATTGACAACATCAACGGCCGTGCGGGTCCGATGCCGGCCATCATCGGTCATCGATCATCGGGTTACGCTGCGACGTGGAAATATACCTAGGTAGTATCAAGATTTGCCTCAATGCTTGTTGCCGTCATCAGCCCAATTTGCTATCTTGACGTTGATAGGCAAGTCTCTTGTACAAGCTCCCAGACCTTGCGCTTTCATTGAAGGGCGCGCATGGTGCAGCTATGTATTTCTTGAACCATCTCAAAGGAAGCCAATATACAAGATGGCCCATGTCCCGATGCAAGCATTTCCAAGTGCATGGCTGTGATGTAGATGGTGCAAAGTGATGATGATGATGCTGAACCATCAGTGTTTTGGTTTACCCGTACCTACTAATGGACGAATGGGCGATTTCCGTCCAACCTCAACCAACCTTGCTCGAGTCATCTTTGAGATCGAACACCAGGATGAAGGGCTTCTTGAACGTCGATGGAGTCCACCTCAGGTCACAGGTGTAAGGTACCTACTATGTAAGCAATGGAATTTGACTGCGACGCGGGGTGTACCTTCACGGCGGCCCCACCTTTTCCACCCAAGCTGAGGTGCGTCATCTGCGGCCTGCCATCCACCACCGGCGCCCAACCACCGATGTCCGAACTACCTAACTGCCTACCTCCACTGGTTAGGAACGCTTCCACCGTTGCAAGCTCTCCGCGAAATCTATCAGCGGCGCCGTCCAATTTCGCTATCCGACATCTCTCATTACCGAACGCCCACCCGATCGCGCCGATTCTCACCCCGGACCTTACTGTTAGACACCGCTGCAGCATCACAACCCTGCTCTACTCCTAGGGCCCCCGGCATGCACCTATGAATTGAATCCGCGTCGCACCTTCCCCCGCTCGCCGCTCGCGCATCCGCTTTCACTTCCACTGGCCTCCTGCCCGAACTCCGTATCGGCTCCCCCGTGCCGGAGCTCTCTCTGCGTCTCTGCGATGCCCGTGCCGCAACATGTCCTGAACTGGCTTTACAGTGTTTTGACAAGTGTATGTTGTCTTCAACTCTTGGCTCCGTTGTGCTTGACTGATGCGCCGCCCTGTCCAAGGAATACCACGATGTGAATCGCACCTACAACGATGTAGCCCAGGCGCTCTCCCACTACCCATCTCTATCTCCGCGCACCGACGTCCACAGTACGGCCATCGATCGCGACCATAACCTTGCTGAATACGTGCTGATACCGTTCATAGCTTACGATAATGGCTCGTCAGCCCTACTTCTCCGCCTCTCTGGTACCATACCCGTTGTATTCAGGGGCACCACATATCGCTTTCCCATATCTGTCTGGGTGCCTCATGCCTACCCACGAGAAGCTCCATTGGTCTATGTCACTCCGACAGAGTCCATGATGGTACGCCCCGGTCAGCATGTAGATCCTCAAGGCCAAGTCTATCACCCATACCTCGTAGGCTGGGCCGCCTTCTGGGATGTATGTCTTCATTCTTATCTTCCCGGCCCTGGGCTGTGCGGGTTGTTCTCCCATTCTGACGGTTAGCGTGCTAGAAATCCACGATTCTTGACTTTCTAGCCATCTTGAGAGATATCTTCGCCAAAGAGCCACCAGTCATTGCCCGACCACAAGGCTCACAGCAACCACAGCCACCCGTGGCATCGCGTCCACCGCAATCACACGCCCAGACCCCTCCCCCTTTTTCGCCTCTTCCACATGAGTTGGCAGCTCGTCCGTCGAGTCGCCCGCCTACTCAAACCCCTACAGACGCATCGCGACCTCCGCCTCCGCCGCCCAAAACGACAAGCACCGAACCGTATAGAAGCCCACCACCTCCTCCAGATGCCAGAAACGGCCCTCCTCTCCCACCTCTACCCCCTGGTGCCGCTCGTCAAAGCATCCATGAAGGCCTCAATCTTCAAGAGTCAAGTCGTCCACAAAGCCAAGTGCATTCTCGGTACGACTCAGCACCGCCTCTACCACCCGTACCTTCCTCTCATCCACCGCCGCCGCCCCTCGCCTCATCTCCGCACCAGACTGAAGACACTACACAACAACCGCAATTCCGTTCCGGACACCCTTCTCAATCCGTTGCCCCTCGTCACTCAGGGGCCCCTATGTCGTACCAGCAAAGCTCTCAGCAATACGGAGGGCCACCTCCAGGTTGGCAACCGGCCGGGCAGTATCAGGCACCACCTCCGCCGCAGCAACTACAGCAGCATCCGCCGCCACAACAGCAGGTTGCAAAGCCACCGCCGCCGCCAGATTTGCTCGATGCACCCCTCACTCTTAGCATACCTTCGCCGTCATCGGTTCCCGCGCCACCGATTCCACCGAACCCGGAAAAGGATGCATTGCTCCACCAACTAGCGCAAACGCTTCACTCCCTTCGACAACGTAGCAGACAGCAGAATGACTCCAGCATGGCAGGCTTACAGGCGCAACGTACAGCTATGATATCTGCCTACTCGACACTTCAGTCGGAGATGGGAACCTTGAATCAAACATCCGGGTTACTTCAGTCTAACGCTAATATCCTGATCGACGCGCTGCGAAAAGCCGATTCTGTTATCGAGGGATCAAAACGTCAAACTGCACCTGATATCGACGAGCTTCTGGTAGCGCCCACAGTCGTAGCCAACCAGTTATACGCTTTGGTGGCCGAAGAGAAAGCCATCGGGGATACAATTTTTGTCTTGGGCCGCGCCGTGGAACGCGGAAGGGTATCACCAGCAGTATTTGCTAAGACGACACGATCCCTTGCTAGGGAGTGGTATCTGAAGAAAGCTTTAGTGCGCAAAATAGGGAAGGGGATGGGGCTGGCAGCGTAGTCGAGTAGCCACGTTACGCTCCAATATTATGATATTCTAGTACGCTAAGTACTTTAGCAGACCAAAATTTCACTAAGACTATTCTCTTTGTGCCCGGCGATCCCTTTGCTGGCCAATTCCCAGTCCCATACACCATAGCCTTGCGGCCTTCATCCTCCAGGTCTCTCCCGCCGGTACACTACAATTAGTATTTTGCTCTATACTAAGGCATCATTGAGGAACACTGCTACCTAGCCCGTCCGACATTGAATAAGTTGTCACTACTGATGTTCGTTTCACTTCGCCGATTGGCAGCTTTGCGCATTTTACCCTGCTGCACAGTAGGCAATGGCCGAGGATGGTACATTCGACATTCGGCATCGGCCGCCACGATTCCCCTGTCTCGTGGTGCGCGCCATCGACCCCAACTAATTCCATGAACATCTCCTGACAGAGCGTCCCACTTAGTCCTCCAAGGTGCGTGAGAGGACGCTGACCCAAATTGCCACCAGTAAGAAGTGGTGACTGGATCAGTAGTGCTGAGCGGCAGGGCTCCCTTTTGTTCCGCTGGACAGCCGTCAAGACTGATACCGGTGATCAGACACTCCCGGGGAATGGCCGACGTGCTCTTTCGGAGGGAGCTGTCCCTCATCGATGCAGACGCAGACGCAGCCAGGCTTCGGGCTTCGGGCTTCTCTGGCGAACAGTTGGCCAGCTGTTTGTCATCTGATCGAGCAGTAATCAGGTAGGACTCTTGCCAGGTAGGGGGCTCTGATGACTTGGCCACATTCTGCTTTGTGTGGTCATTTCCATCTTTCTTGCCCTCTTCTAGCCTGCCTTTCTCCCATGATGCGGATATCTTCCGCCATACTTCGCGACCGCGCTTGAATCCCAGGCTTTCGAATCGATTCTCGAGATGAGATTTATATCCGTCTGTCTCGCGCTTTGGCCCAGTAGCGTTCGATCTTTGTGTCGAGATCGTTTTATTGGTCGAGGGCCTCATCTCCGCATCCATCCGACAGATGGCTTCTAGAGTATTGATTCGATCCTTCAAAGAAGAAGAGGAGGTTGATCCTTTAGATATGTGAGCGCCCGTCGTCGATTGGATAGAACGGCGTATAGCACGATCCGTGGATATTTCATACTGCGACTGTTGTTCGTGGCCATACTGGAAACCCGTCTGTGAGTTACTGTTAGCAGACGACCTATTTGTTGGTCCAGTATAACTGCGCCTCAGTCGCGAGCCGCTTTTTGGGCCAGTATAGTTGGCACTCTTATCGAACAGCGTTCTCAGACTCGCCACTTTGCTTTGCGCTGTCACGATAGCAGCATCGCCGGATGAGTCCGGTAGCGCTGTCGTGGAAGTTGTAGGTCCTGAGCGTAGCTTCTTTTGGGATTCACAAGATTCTGATTGCGGGACCGAAGACCTCGTACTATCCCTGCAAACGGACTGGGTCATCTCAAGAGCTACCTGATCCGTTGGCCAGTCTGGTGATTTGGTAATTACTTGCTCTGAGTTCGATATCGAAGCGTCTCGTGAATGGAGGGCATCCATGGCTCGAGGCCAAAGCCCGAAGAGCTTCCCTCTGCCTCTTTGTCCTCTGGAGACGGAGATATTTTCCCTTTGTGTTTTCTCGCGATTTGGATGACTTCTTTGGCCAACGCTATATCCAAGGCTCTTCGAGATGCTCCGTGTCCAACTGCCTCCCACTGCTGCCTCGGTTTGGTCACCGGCATTGACAGGTCTTAGGTCCAAAAGTGGCTCTGCTCTACCTCGAGAGCTATCTTGAAGAGCTTCGATATCGTTCGACCTCATTTTCCAGGCTTTAGTCCGGGGAAGTGTATAAGATGGTGTCGATGTTCGGGGCGTGATACCGTTGTTGCTGAAAGTTGGCAGTGGTAGGCTTGTCCTGACGCCACCTACACAGATTATCAGCATCCCGGGCAGACCAGCATTACTCCGGGCGTCATACTTACTCATCGGAGCTTCGAAAAGTTGTCGTCTTTCAGCTACAAGACTTCTCTGTCTTCCATCTCCTGGCCTTCCTGCTTTGTAGGGCTGTCTCTCTCCCGTAAATGGATCAAAAACGTAGGTTGTTTGTTCTACAACTGGTCGCATTCCAGTCTGTTGACTGTTCTGGGGCTGGCATGTTGAACTCCGACGATGTGAGATCTGGCTCGGGCTTGGGGTTGACTGTGTTTCCACCACTTCTTCACAGCCTAGTCCAGGAGGAGGTTCCTTTGCAAGACCAGATTTGACAGAGAAACCAAGCTCCTTACGGACGACGCTATTGTTAGCTGGCGAATGAGGCACTTCTACGTTCGATGCATTGTGATTGGCAGTAGCTTGTGTCTCGAGATCGGTCATGACATCAAGCATCTCGAACTTTGATACGATAGCAGCCAGGGGCGTGTTTTTCGGCTGTATTGGATGACGAGATAATTTTTCGGTGGCTCGTTCAGTCGTAGTGGATTCATCGGTAGGAGTTTCGATCTCGATGAAGCTTGCACCAGGTTGCTGTTGTGAAATATCGGATGCTGCGTTTGTCTTTTTGCTCTTGAGAGAGAGTCGAAGAGGTTCGGGCTTCATGTCATCTCGTGTAAAATCCTTTGACGGCGAGCATCTTGTCTGTGTAGGTGATCCCGGCAGGTGGCTCTCCATGGGAACGCGTTTTGAAAGAGAGTGCTGGCAATCCGTGCGGCAAGGAACAAAAAGGCAATAGGATTCTAACCGTACAAGTAACAACAAGTTGTGTATTGCTGTACGAATCGGGCCGTGATGAAAGTGAATGTCGGAGTGACAGTATTCGGTCGCCAGGTAGCGTCATTCGATCATGGACTTGCCCTGGCTGAGCAAAGGCTCTCTAACCATGCGCATCGGCAGACTCCTTCTGCTTCATGGACGGTTACCAAGTCTGATACGAGGCAGGAGTACCTTGGATATGTCTTACAGCCTCTATTTCCATCCTTGATTGATGGAGCCGCGCTTTCCGTTCAACTCGGTTAGTACAGATCAGATCGGAAGGTACCCAGGTACCCTGAATAAACTTGAAGAGTTCTTACGAGGCAATGTAATCTCGGTGGCTATGACTCTCCTACGGGATGAGCGAGAGTAGGAACTATCTGGACGTGACTGCTCAAAATTTCTCCTTGGTCCTCGAGGTAACAGTCATACATGACGGAGACAGAGGCAAGTAAGTTGACGCTTGACACAAACCTAGATCACAATTCTGAAGTAGCATGCAAGCAATTTCACAATTCAAGGACACTCTGTAAGCTTGTACTCACGTCTTTTGGAGTCAAGGCGGGGAAGCGCAACAATAGGCCTATGACCTCGCTGTGCGTGACCTCATTCTCTTTGAGGAATCAACTAACGATGTAATTGAAATGCCACAAGTGAATGAAGCAACTGCGAACCGAGCATTTGGCGAAATATGACCATGGGTAGCCCTGGTGAGGCAAGCTCACGTATTCCAGGACACGTTCATTTGCGTCTTTCTCGCCAAGGCAGAAAACATGTGAAATCAACGATTAGCTGAGACGCGGTCTTCATGAACTCTCACCTCTCGGTTCTTTTTTTACGAGTCCCTTCTTCAGATCGTCACTGTCGACTCGTTGCAGCTCGATGTCGATTGAGTCAATGCCGCCAGTCTGGTCACGTTGGCGTGGATTGCTGGACTCTATGTGCGATATTAGCCCCCAGTCCCATACATGTTAGGTTGTGTTCCAGTGGTAAGAGATGTCTTAGAAGGTGTAACTAAAATTGCCACACACGAAACTGACTGCGACTCTCCTCGCGAGGAATCAATTGAGACCCGAGAAGCTATCAGGTTCTTCGAAGGTAGAAAGACGACGACCGACGTGTAAGTCAGCGAGCCCAACCCGAGGCTTGACCAGGAGCCCCAATTCACAGAAGCGACGATGACTACACAGGGATCGAATCAAATAAATACAAGTCCGAGGGGAAGGTGTTGCGCGGGTCCACACACCAGGAATAATCATCAGGATCTCGTGTTTGATGATGAATGCTTCCATCGCATCTAGTCGTTGCCTCATTGGGATAGTGCCTCGGTTCTTAGCCAGACGTATGATCGGCCTGACGTTTAACAGTGCGCAGTGGCATGCAAAAGAGATTGCTCCGACAACGCCGCTACCTTGAGCTACCCATATGGAATATGCGGACGAAGCATGAGAATGGCGTAAATCTGGTTGATGTAGAGACCCAGACGTACGCCTATAGCAGATGCTGACACGAAGCAAGACAGTAAAACAATAACCACTTTCCAAGGTCTTGGCAATAGCTTAAAAAGATTCCACGCCTAGATTTCCAGTGATACCTGGACAAGGATGTGTAAGATCACCGAGGTCGATTCCGCCATGATTCTCAGATGGAATTCAGCTGCAGCGACGCGGGAGTAGTCTGACGCAAAGCGCGTGTAAAAGTTGGTCCAGTCGGTTGAAGTGAAGATTAGTGCCAGCAGCGTCATGCGAACTGTATTGTTGGCGAAGGCAGTAATGTGAGCCCAGAGGGAAGCCACAATGAGTCTCATAGAAGGCATCATGACAACGACGATCAGCAGCAACACGAAGCTTGCGCCGATTTGGGAGCTATAGTTTGCGCATGTGCCAATGTCGGAACAGAGGCCAAATTCTCATCCTCGGCCGTATCGAGAATGTCTTCAACACGAGAATTTCGTCCAAGGTATTTGAATCGATTATGCTTGCGGTGCCACTTCAACTAAACTAATAATCCGCTCTTTCAAAATTGACGGCAGCGTTACAAGTGAAACAGAACTTTCTTGCGCGTTGCTCTCGTCCCTACAATGAGACTTGGTTTTCTTATGTGGTGGGTTTTTTTCCGGCTTTACACGCGCAAAAGATCGACCTTAACGGAGTCAGTAGATGTGAGTGTATGCTTACATTGTTACATGTGATTCACACCCTATAATTCACGTATAGTATGTGGGTATGCCGAGATTGATGATACAACAACTCCATGGGAAGCCCTTAGCCGTAAAGGATCAACAGCGGAAGACGCAAGATGCAAGTAAGGTAATCACAAGCAAGTCGTATGGCAGCAATAAGTAGAAAAAACCGTTCACAATTCAGATGGTCGAAGTCAGATAGATACTCGAAGATGACGGCAAATGATTCCTTTGAGAGAATCGGTGAGACTTCACTGCCAGGAGTATCCCACGGAGGAGGAAAACAACAAAATCAAGGTAAGTTATTATTGCAAACAACACCACACATATTGCTCGGTCGCATGTCACATATCAGGTCTAGCTTGTGACAACCCACCTTACCTTGGCTCACTTGTTCTGTCCATTCGAACTCTGGCGGCCCGCGTCTTAGCTGGCGAGACAAACCAACTGGATCGAAAGACATGGCCGGCCCGGACTGTTTTCCACTATTCGGGTAAGAGGGGTTGCCCATATGATCTACAGAGCGACGTACCATGCTCCCTTGTACCCCCTCTTCAAACCAGAAACGAGTGCGTACGTGTTGACAGCAACTTAATTATTATTGGCCTGACGTCTGGTCAGAGCAGTCGGAGCAGTCGTGGCAGTCTCAAGGCAACTGTTTGCCAAAACCAATCTGCCCTCCTTCATCGTTTCTCGGTGGGGGCTGAAACCAGAAGATCGACCTGACATTTTCAGCCCCTGCTGACGCAACTGCTGAGTGCGCTCCCCACCCTGTGGCGGCTCAGCAGGTTGGCACTCCTGCCTCTGACCAAGCACGCAGATTAGCTTGAATACACTTTGTCAGTTACAGCGAACGAGTAGCTGAAAGTACAGAATACCACAATGAATCTTCCTAGCTATTTGGCTTGAAGAGCCACGAGGTCCACGCAGTCACGCAGTCCATTTAAGCGTTCGCCATTCACCAGAGGCTATACTTTGGCTAGTCGAGTGGGATGGTGCGATGTTGACGGATGAGGCGCAAGGGGGAGGCAAGAATCTTCAAGATCAAGCCTCACCGTCAGGCCCGTGAGTCAAAGGAGTGGCCCGGAGATAATAAGGCAGGTGGGAGAGTTGGCAAACACCTAATGCACTTGACGTCTGCCTCCGTCCCGTGAGACCCACTCACATATCCGACCCGGCCGCTGGCCCCGATTCCCCACTTCCGGTGCGGAGACACAGCTTCTGCACCCCGGCGCAACGGGTCTCTACCCAATCGTCGGGTTATCGGGCAGTATAATGAGATCAGAGACTGTGCTCACCAGGGTAAATGTACGATCGTTATTTTGGCACAACCCTGTCTCAGGAATTGCCAACTTGGTCGGGTGGTCGGTCCTCGTCAGGATTTCACGCCATGAATTAGGAAATGATAAATCCGAAAACATTCCTCAGCCGTCAGTAATTCCGGGAACAGGTGACAACCTGACAGGCGGAGCGGGTCAACCTGGTCTGAACTGAGACAAGGAGACAACGTATTGAGGCCCGTAGGATCAATCTCTCAAGGCGAGGATTGTGAGAGCCTAGCCCTCCTAATGTCTCTCGTTGACGTTTTAGCGTCTTCCCAGCTTGGCACGCGGCCGTCCAACATCCCTTACTTTTTAATTCTCTATTAGCCTACACTAATCCACCTTGTCTACAACCGCATTTCGTCCGCGCTCCGTTTGGGTCTTGAAAAGCCGGCTCTAAGACCAATCCGGTAGCTCACGGCGCAGTGGCTTACACACACGTCCCGCCTTCCGCCCGAAAGCTCGCCAGACGGCGGATGCTTGCATAGCTAGTGAGGGGCATTTTCTGACAAGGTGGACCCTATCGTGATCAAATTCCACGTGTCTAAGACAACTCATCCTAAAGCTTCGAGCTTGTCTCCTTGATGTCTCCTCTCGGGATTTTCCCATTCACCACGACTAAAGCAGCGACCTCGTCCGTGCAAGATCTCGACCTCCGTCAGATTCGCGGCGCCTTGTCTTTGAAATCCTGCCTCTTGGCTCGACCAGCTCAATGGGTGAATCAGAGACAACTGCGGTAATGTCTGACACGGAGGCTAAGCTCGAGCGGGACGATTGAGCGGAATACCCTTCTTTTCTTGATCACAACCTTCACCGGTAAGCGTTACTTACGACCACCTCTCCATTCTGACTAAAGCGCGGAGCCATCTCCGACCAACGCCGCCCAAGAGCTGAGCAGAGCTTCGCCAATTGTCGACGCCATTACAGCTCTTTGGCGAAGTTAAACACGCATTTAGATTAGGCTCAGCCAACTCGTCATGTTCCTCCACCCACGGGCTCCCTCCTTGTTGCCCCCGTGGCTCAAGTTTTAGATAATGGCTTGTTCGTGTCTATTGTCACGGCCGCATTGATGGAAAGCCTCCTCCGCCTCCCGGTCTAGGTCCTTAATCAGACCCTGTGATGTGGGTGGGGGTTTGATAATGGGCATTCAAGGTGAATGATAAAAGATCACCGTGGCCTGCTTCACCTTGCCCTCTTCTCCTAGACCTGCCGTCATTGCTTCTTCCCACGTACGCCTGCGTACCTGGCTTTTCAGCTCTTCCCTTAGAGCTATTAGCTTTCGGTCTATTTCCAAGTCCCCACTCCGACTTTCGCTGGGTGAACTTTCATCTTTGACCAGAATTCCGCGACATCGTTAGCCGATTTGATCAGATTTTGGGTAGCCTGTGTCGCTCCCTCTTTTAGTTCTACTTAACGTTCCCTTTCTTTTGCACGGCGGTTCATCGTTTTCGCCACAACCCCTATCGTTGCCCATCATGAGAGTAAGTAAGCAACTTCTCGTTGGGCTCTGGGCAAGCGGCAAAGCAGCTGCTTTCTTCATCATGCCCTGTTCAAAACCGGTGGTTGTTGAGCGCGCCGATCCCATTGTCAACTCGGGAGCTCTCTCAGGCCATGTTCATACCATCATGGGTGGCAATGGCTTCGACTTCAGTATGACTTATGAGCAGGCTCGTGCTGCCACTTGCTCAACGTGCAAGGTGACTGCCGATCTAAGCAACTACTGGACTCCAACCCTCTATTATCAAGGTCAGGATGGCAAATTCACTAGTGTTTCCCAGTCCGGAGGCATGCTTGCCTACTATTTGTGAGTAAAGATATAGGATGATGAAAGAAGCCAGAGAGCTGACCATTGTTCCAGATTCCGCCAGGACGCCAAGGATCCGGAATACAGTAAAGGGCTCATCGCTTATCCCAAGGGCTTTCGGATGCTAGCGGGTGACCCAAAGCTTCGAAGCTACAACAACACCCTCGAGCAGCGGGCCATCTCCTACGTGTGCTTGGGCAACAGCGGCCCTGCAACGAGCGAGCTTCCCAATCGTAAATGTCCGAATGGCCTTCGTCTTCAGATAATCTTCCCTGCATGCTGGGACGGTGTCAATCTCGATTCGTCTGACCACAAAAGCCATATGGCGTACCCGGATCGCCTTGACAACGGGAAATGTCCTACAACTCACCCCAAGAGATTCGTTACGTGAGATTACCCTAGGGAACTCATTAACACAAGGTGCTAATTTGTCTGCCAGTCTGTTCTACGAAGTGATCTTTAGCGTCAATGATTTCAAGGACAAATGGTACGGAGATAAGCAACCGTTCGTATTGTCTAATGGGTCAGTGCCTTACCTTCACTTTCATGAAAAGAGAGTCTGCTTACACTGCCTAGTGATCCGACTGGATATGGCTTGCACGGCGATTTCATTAATGGATGGGACGTCAACGTACTCCAAGCGGCTATCACTCAATGCACCGACAACGGCGGTAGCATCGAGAAATGCCCAGTTTTCCAATTTTTTGACGACGAGACCCGAAGGAACTGCCAAGTCCCCGTCAAAGTTGACGAGCAAGTCCAGGGCCAGTTCGATAAGTTGCCTGGTTGCAACAGCGTTCAACGAGGCCCAGGCAACGCTGTGGCAGAATCATCCTGCGGTGCAGCGACCCAGATCTCGGCATCCAAATGGGGTTACAAGGACGTGACGAGTACTCTCAAGTACAAATATCTGGGCTGTAGCCGCGATCCAGCTGGACAGACCAGGACTCTCCAGGGCGCCAAGACGTCCGGTGATAGCATGACAGTTGATACATGTATCAAGTACTGTGACGGAAAGGGCTTTCAGTATGCCGGCCTTGAATATGCGAAGGAATGCTGGTGCGGGAACTCAGTAGCTGATGATCGGAAGCCTAGAAAGGGGCTCTGGGGAGCTTGCGATATGCCCTGTGGGGGTAGCAAGACGGAGATGTGTGGCGGCTGGGCTGCGATGTCTCTCTATCAGAAGTGCAACGGGACTTGCACAAATGCGGAGTTGATGTGATGCAAGGTAATCGGTAGATCCGAGGAAGTTTTCCTGCGTAAAATTTATTGTATGCGGTTATGTACCGCCTACTTGATTACCAATTTCGCCCTGCTTGTTTAGACTGCTAGTGTCCTTGTCAATAGAGGGCGAGCCAGGCACACTAGGTAGGTAGACTTGCGACACTGTCGGAGCAACCGCCATGTATGCTCCCTGTTGATTGAATGTATTCACGGTACAAGTGCATTCAAAATTACAATTATTGCGTGAGAGTGAGATTCATTAAAGCCAGCCAGTGCAGGCCGTGGCTTTGAGGTCAACACCAGACCTCAAATACCATTCCCCGTAGCCTCGAGGCTACCTTTCTTCGAGTATTGTACAGCCAGCTTCTATTGCGGCAAAAAGGACGTAATTATACATGAGCCGTCATTCGATTGTAGAAAGATCTTTATTGACTGCGAAATCGAGGCGTTAGCGACCTTGAATTAGATCTCAAGGTAATAGGCTGCTTACGGAGGAAGAAGAAACTCGCCCCAGGAGCTGGAGAGCAAAGTCACAGCGGCCTACATTGGACGTTAGCAGAGCTCAATTGATCGGTGGCTTGGACGCGCATGATGACTTACGCCGAAGATGGCGACGCTGCGAACGATGGGTGCATTCTCAGAGGAAGTCAACGCATCGTATGTTGATCTGAAGTAGCCCTTGGGCTGACGAGAGCGCTGGCTGTCTCTCTGGACGACAATTCTCTTGGCAGGCATGGCGATGAATGGGAATTGAAGACGCAAAGGATGAACGATTTGCGAGTTGAGCTTGGAGTTGTGGTGTACGGCGATGTGATTGCAGCAAGGGGCGGGATGTGAGGTCGTAAATGCGATCGGTCGGCTCGACTTCGCGCGGAAAGCGTACAGAGCCGAAATTTTTTGACTGGACGTCACCCACGCGCAAGCCACATATGGCAAGACCTTATTGTGGCTGAGGTGGTAACCACACCTAAGGTACCTAGGTAGCTCGTATCGGAGATAAGATAAAGCACCTGGTAGAGGTAATGTAGGTACCCAGGTACGGATAAGTTAGGTAAGGTAGATAAGGTAGGTAAGGTAGGTAAGGTAGGTAAGGTAGGTAAGGTAGGTAAGGTAGGTAGTGGGAGCCCCTCCAAAATAATTAACTACCTTGATTTCTACCACCTTTCACTCAGGTAATTCTACGTATCCGTACAGACGTTCTAATTGTCTTGCCAGTCTGTACAACAATACATCACTACGCCGCGTCGCTAGAACGTTGAAGGGCGGGACTCTGTATAAGATTGGGGGCATTTCTTCGTGGGCAATGCGCAAAGCAGCATCGACTCTGGAGTGACCGGCAACAATACTTAGACACAGCAATGACTGACACTCCGCAGCCTGCGGGTCCTGGCGGCTTCTTTCCGTTACAATCTCTCCCTTCACCTGCTCCTAGCAGTGCCTCGGCGCGCTCAAGTGCGGCTTTGCCGCATCCCCGCGCCAGATCGCTCCGACCCGGTTCCAACAGGGAAGAGACGGTACGCCGGTATGTTGAGGAACGACTCGCCATCGTTAATCGCCGTTATGTCAAGAAGCATGGCAATACCGAGCCCGGAGACGATGTCATAGGCTATAAGAGCTTTACGGAGCTTTGCAAGGACCTGCATAACGTCATCGACGTCCTATGGCTGTCCGGAACACGTGAGAAACTCGCCTACCTCCCTCAAATATCGGCGTTGCTTCGAGTCAGACGCCGGTACTATTGCTGACTCTGTCTTGTAGCGAGCATACAGATTCCCTTCCTCTTAAACATTGCAAGCGACTTCACGCAGTGGATTGACGCCTTTACTCCTGCCCCGAAAGCTACCTTCTCTGTCTTAGGAAAGCTGGACCATTGCTTCGCAAGCCTTCTGATCGGACGCGATATCGATACCAAAGACACTTTGCCCGGCTTTGAAAACGGCATGAGAGCTGGTATGTCTATGACAGACATGGTGCGATGCCGTAGCTCGGTGGAGCAGACACGACTGGTCATTGTGGAGGTTCTCAGCAAGGAACCCGACGGAGACGACGGTACGGAAGACAACGAGACAGACGCACAATCCACGAATAGCGACACTGAACTCGAAGATGCGATGGACACAACGTGGGACGAGGACGAGGACAGACTATACATGGACGCAGCACGAGTATATGAACACACCATTGTGCGGCTAGGTGAGAAGCTTGGAGATGTATTTGGACCCGCGGTTCCGGGTGCGAGCAGTGATAGCATTTGCTCTGCGGGATGAATACGGCCGAAACGGCCCAGCAAGTCCTGACGCGGACCTCGATTCACAAGTCTATGCAGCTACGGCGAGCAGGCCGCAGTGCAAACCTTGACACCTACCCAGAAACTGCGCATGGCGTGCTGCCTGACATTGGCCAGAGAGAGCCAGGGAATCTAGCTCACCACTCCACGGAACAGTTCATGGAGTTTGTCCAACCAGGACGCGGCAATGCGACTCATAAGCAGATGTAATAATCGCGTTTGGGCAGCAGTAGCCATGAATTGCCTGTTGTTCAAGCACACGGCGGCATTGCAGGATACCTAGCACTACGATTAATATTTCGTTGGTCTACTACGGCGTGGGTTGGCTGCACCGTAACGAAAAGTCTCATTTTCGCATCGGAAGAGAGGTCGACGACAGTTTCATGGAGAAAGGTAGCACATGAATGATACAGTCGCGCATTTTGACGTAAGGCATGGCTACGCGTAGTGTGGTGATGTGATGACTGGGCACTGACAGCCAAAATCAAACCCCCTTGCTTGAGACACGTGACAGCTATAGTTGTTCATCCGAGAATGACAACGCAGTTCGTTTCCATTGCGGGAGACTCCAGTTTCATGGATGGGGGCACCAAAGTCGCAGTGGCGGAGGCGGCACTCAACGGCGCTGAAGCCTTATGGAATTCTTTGTGGGCGACGATGCGAGCGTGCGATGGAAGACATTCGCTTATCGTAGAGCTGCACAGCTTATCCATAAGTACGGATACGCATATTCGTCTGTGAGCGGGTAAGGTATTCAAGGGCACATCTCGAGGCCACCTACGGAATTTTCCGTACTAAGGTATCCGTACCGTGTACGTGGACTCAAGACTTAGAGTCCTCTTAAGGTACCAACTCAATCGAGCCGGGACTCCTGAGAAGGAAGAAATCTCCGTCGTCCCAGGTGGACGTGGTCCAACTTGCAAGCGGTGCTAGACCCGTTTGTGGATTTGGGCCGGCGTCTCCCTGTCAAGGTACCCTGCCAATTGTTGTCTCAGAGCATGCATTGCCGCTCTAGCATCTGGGCTGCGCTGCCCGTGCGATCCCGGTGCTTGCACTCTTCATGTGCAGCTTTTGAATATTCAGGGGCACTTGACGATCCCATCTTGGCGAGAATGGCCCGCTTGACACACCTAAGTACCTTGTTATTAAAGAAAATAAATTCTTTATAAATTACAAGTATAAACGTATAGTTTTATCAAAACAGTATAATACTCACTTAGTACTTAAATTAATATACTTTTTAAAACTCATTATAAAAAAGTAGTTTTATTTTTAACTACTTTTTATTAAAGTTTATAATTAATATTATAATTTTAATTATATTAGCTTTATTATAATAGTTATAAAGTCTAATTATAAGTTTTTTAAAACTCGCTTTTTAAACCTATTTTTTAAAAATTAAACTATAAATACTTTTTAAAATATCAAATTTATTATTATTTATTATTATAAATAAAATTAAAATAATAAATTAATTATTATTTTAATAGCTTTATTTAATTTATTTGAATTTTTTTAACATAATAATATTACTATTTATATCAAAATTATATTGAAATAAAAAAGAAATTTTGTTTATTAATATTAGTAAAATATTGTTATTATATCCTATTTTAATATAATTATTTAATTAAAATATTACTATTTATTAAATTATTGTATATAGTTGAAATAAGTATGTAAATGTTTTATTTATATTTATTATTACTTTTTAAGGAATATTATTTTTTATAAATAGATATAATAAATAACTAATTCTTATTACTTTTTAATATAAAATTATTCTATTATTATTAAAATATTAATTTTAATATTTTTTTTAATAAAAAAGAGGATAAGAAAAAAGAAGGAAAAAAAAGGGGCCAAAGATAAATAGTACGGAATTTAGGGGCAGGGTAGCGTTTATATATACTATAGCAATCCTTCAGTAATAAAAAACGATAGTGTTAAATAGTGCGCTTGACATACCATTGAGCGCAGCCACACGCAGTTGCACAACTTGATAGGAAATGGGAAAGAAGGAAGGGGGACAGCCGTGTCCACTGGCGACAGCTTGAAGAATTGCAGGAAGCAAGCTTGTTTGTCAGCAGTCTTCTTATTCACATTCGTACGAATACATGTCTCCTTCCTCACAGCAGATACCTACGGATGCTGTGTACATATTGGCTGTACACAGTAAGGTAGTAAGACTAAGGCGACTACGTACCTTACCTGAGGTTGTGAGGTGATAGTTGAGCATATCCAATGGATGGAAATCATGGCTCTTGTTACCCCCACGTCCGAAACCCCTAGTCCTAGTGTACGGAGCACGGAGTACTTCGTATATACTGTCCTCAGAGGTCCTTTCGAGGCTCTTCTCTGGTCGGCATCCCAGCACCTCTAGGCTCTATGCAGTACATAGATAAATGCCCCGCGGCCACCTCCTTTTCAGACCTTTGGACCTTCCCGACTGGACGCTTAACTGCGCCCTCTTTGGCCGCAGTGTGGATCTACCAAGTTGTGCCCAAATTGAAGGTTATGCAACTGACGCTCGCAGTACCGAGTACAGATGAACCGCCAATGACACCCGTTGGCCAGTGCAGGCAGTATCCGTCGTCGATCCTTGGCGCGGATGCGCCGCCAACGGGCCCCATCCCTTTTTTTGACTGCTCTCAAAGCCCCGTTCTCTCCCATACCAATATCACGTCTGCATAAGAGTCTATAATCGTACCTCAGCCTCTTTTCTTGTCCCCACAGCATTCCATGTGTACGTACGGATATGGGTGGATGGATGGAGATCGTTGACGAGGACAGTCATAGACGCCTCCTGACGAGTCAATCCTCAAGGATCCAACCCTGTTGCTCCATTCTTCGTCCAGTTCTTCCTGCCCTCGCTCGCTCTCACGGTTCACCACACAAAGTACCTGCTGGCTCGTCCTAGGCCAATGTCAACTTCCTTGTCCACATCTTGGTTTCGATCTTGGGCCGGCCCCTATCTCTGGCGGCTTTCGTCTTGTCCGACGCAGATCAGGACTCCCTAGCCTTGCCTGTTGGCCACGCCCACCACCCTTAAGGAACTCCTCTCTCCAGTCACCTTTACTCCGTACTTGGTATACTGAAAATAACCCCTGCTTTCCCTGCCCTGTATCCATATTCACCTCGTTGCCCTAATAATGTACCATCGTCTACCTTCCACGACCTGTCTGGCAGTCTACACCCTTGCTCGCCCATTCTTGGCTCTCCTGTTGTATCCGCACTGCGTACAGTAACCTGAGCGGCTGAGCCAGAGTCGACCAAGAAGACTGTGCCGAGTTGCGAAGTAGGCAGGCCATCGTCACCGCCACACTGGGTGTTCCTGGCCGCTTCTGGGCGTTTCATCCTGACTCCCCACGTCAATCTCTTTCTTTGCCTTACCGCCTCTGGGCAACCACCCTAATCCAACCATTTGCGATAACAAGGGCATGACATAAGCTCCTCCTTGCCCGTTGTAACTCGTCGTCTGCTCTCGGCATAGTATCCTTGTCGTCCTGCTCCCTTGTCAGGTTGTCCCAATAATACAAGGTTGTTCCTCCCGATGTGCGTTGTCCAGACCGTCCCATGCAGGAACCTCTCCTGGCCGTATATATAGAGGCGACCCGGCCTCGCTGCCCGTTGGCAACTACGTGCTTTTGTCCCCTCTCTCGTTCTCTACCGCATCCACTTTCACTCACTAGGCCAAGTGCCGTTACGTTCTTTTCTTGGTGATCGCATTCATTTGAATCTCATCGTCCATTCACTTTCATCCCCAGAACGCTCGCAAATAGACGAGGTCGAACCCACGGGCTTCAATACCAATCCATTCATTCATTCAGTATACTATAAGAACAGAGAAAGGGGTCAGTCAATAACAGCAAACACACGAGACAAAAATGCTTTCCAAATACGCCCAACTTCTCTTTTCTCTCACACCGTTCGTCGGTGCTCTTGTGCCCCCAGCACAAGATGGCATGAGAATCATCTGGTCCGAGACCTTCCAAGGAAACGCCGGCGCACCCCCTCGAAGCGACACATGGAACGTCGCCTTGGCCATCGACACGAACAACGAGGTCCAGACTTACACCGAATCATCCTGGAACGTCCAAATATCGGGTGGTGAAACCATTCAGCTCATTCCCAGAAAGTCAGCAAGCGGCGTATGGACATCTGCACGTATCGAGACCAAGGCAGCGTGGACACCCCAGCCGGGAGGGAAGATGCGGGTTCAGTCAATGTTCAGGATGGGCGACAGCGCAAACAAGCAGGGCATGTGGCCTGCCTTTTGGATGCTGGGCGATGCCGTTCGCAACGGGGTTCAGTGGCCTCTCTGCGGCGAGCTCGACATCTTCGAACAGATCAACGGTCAGGCCACGGCCACGGGTACCGTTCACTGCCAACAAGAATCCGGCGGCATCTGCAACGAGCCCAGCGGCCGTGGCGTGGCCACTTCGATGCCCGACAACGGTTGGCACACTTGGGCACTGGAGTGGGACCGCACGTCGAACAACTGGGTCACCGAGACCATCACATGGTATCGTGACGGTGTTGTCTTCAACCAGCTCAAAGGCAGCGATATTGGGGACGAGGGTATCTGGGCGACCCTTTGTCACATGCCCTACTATGTGCTCATGAATGTAGCAGTTGGTATGTTTCTCGCTCTGGTTGCCTCGGTTGACCGTCTGTCGTACATGAGAATGCTAACCAGTTTCAGGCGGCACGTTGCCTGGTTCTCCTACCGATGCTACGCAGGATGGCTACGGAAGCATGATGGAGATCGGATACCTTACCGTGTACCAGTCGCCTTGAGTGCAGCTACCTATGATAGCTGTATCCGTAATGAGCTCGGCCTCGCGGACACTACCATCACATATCTCCGTCATGTTATGAGCTCCGGCCATTACATAGTGCCCCAATGTCCGATTTGGTACATTCAAAACGCACAAGGCTCTTTTGGCATATTCCTCTTTCTGCAAGACAGGATGATTCTTGCTCCCTTAGTATATACCCCTTTTTGGAAGCGATATATAGCGGCTGCCTTTACACTCATACGTTCTGCCCCCCCCTTCTGCGTCTGTTCTCGAGCCTGCGGATCTGAACAGGCGCAGAGGAGGGGCGACTTCTCAGGTTTTACCACCTACATAGTAGTCAATGTTGAAATCCAGCACGGGCATCCTTTCCCGTCGTCTAAACCTCCAAACCAAAAGTATCACTAGATTTATTTGATGGCAATCGTGACAGCGGATGTGATACTTCTTGCTCATGTAACTCACTGTAACGTGCCTTGAGAGACCCAGATTCTGCAACATTTGCTACACAAAGCCGGTTTGTTGTGTAGTCACCGATATACGTAGCCAACGCAGATACTCCATTCCGAACCAGCGCTAGTCTTCTCAGCATCAAGGATATGATTCACCATCTCCCCATAGCAGCACGTATACGACGACCTACTCAGGAATATACCTCTCCCACAAGGCTGCCGCGTATCCATACTGCGGGGAACACATCCTTGGATCTTATACCTTAAACCCTAGATCAGAGTGAAGAGGAACAAAAAGCTCACTGCTAGTCTCTAGATGTCCCTGCTGATGGCCCGGCGTTGGTCGATCATCCCGGGGAAGCGGCGGCCCGCCGCATGACCGACCCCAAATTGCAGATCGACAACCGTTGCGTCCGCCGCCACATCCGGCCACCGGAGCTTTTTTTTCCTTTTTTTTTTTTTTTTTTTTTTTTTTTTTAGAGAAAAACCCTCCCGCCCCGCGTCTAATTCCCCGAGATTACCATTAGAAAAATATCCGACTTGTATGTAGATCATGGCCACGCCTGCGGTCTCTGTGCTCAACGCGGGGATTTCCCTTGTCGAATACTCAGAGCTCAGGGCAGACGGAAGTATTGGCTAGGCCTCTCTGAGCTCTGTGACCATGCGCAAAAGCCTCGTGAGCACAGATAGGTTCGCGTTCACTTCCAGACGGCTGTGGTCATTGCGGGCGGTAGACGCCACGAAAAGACGGAAGATTTCGTGCACATCAAGGCTTGCCATCCCTCCTTAGATCATGCTTCGGAAACCTTTTGAGAAGACATGATCATGATCGACATTATCAATGCAGTAGAGCCGGTGATAATTCTACGAGTAATTAACGGTGGTGCTAGACGGAACTTTGATACTTAATGGCATTCAGGATATGAAAAAGATGGATTGATCCTCGTAAATCAATACCGCACCGCGCCACAGTATAATCTGACAGGACCCAGGGTAAACGACGATAGCAGGACGACACTGGTGATCGAACGTGCCCCCGACCTTCTAGTAAATACAATGTTCTCAACTCAATCCACAACCGGTACAACTGCCCCCTTTTGGACTCTCTGTCACCTCTTTTGCAAATCAACACTGATGGGTCCGCCAGACGAAACCGGGCTCTGCATTCGCACATCGTATGCCACGTACAATCAATGATTACGCCCACTGGTTCGATAGGAAAGGCACCCGACAAAACTTTGCGAACCCTGCCAGTAGAACTCCAGAACCAATGATCAAGAATCCTCGCAAGCGGTCCGTCCACCAACGACCGACAAGGAGAAAAGTAACGTGAAGTTTGTATGCGTGTTACCCCAGGTACATGCACGCAAGGGAATTAAATCGCCGTCGAGAACGAGGCTGTGCTGAACAGCGAAACGACTCATTGGAGAATGCCGCCGAAGAGGCAATCCGTCAAGTGTTTGCCTCACACACCGTCGTCCAAATGCGATTAGTAAATCAAAGCATATGAAATAGGAAAGTGACAGGCTCAATGAGGCGGCGAGAGTTAAGCCCGACTGCTTTGTCTTGACTGCGATTGTCGAGCAAACCCTGCTGGAAGTTACAGTTGGCAACATGCCAACAAATCGATGTGGGCTCAGTCCGATTTGATGTATTCTAGACTGTAAAAAAAACCCTTTTTTTTGGTATTCTGAGCGTATCCATAAATCAAATGGAGATAGCCATGCTTCGCAAATGCCATGCCGCTTGACTGCACAACGGCGAGGCACGGTGAAATCAGGCCGGGGAATCGACACAACGCCTAACGCACAACTAAGGCATGACACAGACGAGAGGGAATCGTACACCTAAAAGCCAGGCTCAACAACCGTCTAGTCTGCGCCAATTTCGTTGGCGCCTTCCATGCCGAATGACCCAGTGTTGAAATCAAAGGCCTGGTTGTCGCCGTCTTCGTGTAGAAATGAGTCGAAGTCGAAGTCGTTAAGAACATTGTCCGAGACCAACGGGTCGGCGAACGCCATAGCACCGAAGTCCACCATTGGGTTCGTGTTGTCCATGAACCCTCCGTTCTGGTTGGCATCGTGTTGTGCCTGGGGGGCTACCTGAGGCTGAGGGGCAGGTGCGGGAGCAGCAGCCTGGCCGTTGGGCACGGCCGGCACGGCGGCATTTTGTCCGTTCTTGGTGAAGTTGGCAGAGGTGACAGGAGTGATGGGAGTAGCAGGTGTTGCTGCCTCCGCGTCTGCACCGTCGGCGGCTGGTGTAGTACCACTGTTCAGGTTGTTGTTGCCTGACTTCTTTCCCGCCGCAGCCTGCGCTTGTGTTAGTTTTGTTTTGGCAAGCTGTGTCTTGTCATGTACTCACCTTTGCCTTTGTGTTCTTGGTATCCTTCTTCTTCGGGGCCGCCTTGTTTGATTGTGACGGAGTCGGGGGAGCCGCTGCGGCCTGTTGAGGCGAGGAAGTGCTCGTCCGGTTGGAGTTGGCGCCAGCTGGTGCAGATGGCGGCGGCATCGACCGTTGCTGCGGTGTACCTTGAACCGATCCCTGAGGACCCTGAGGTACCATCTGACCGTTCGGGCCGCCTTGCTGCCATTGTACCGGCTGACCACCTTGACCGGCCTGCTGAGGCTGTCCCTGCTGCTGAGGCGGCTGCTGCTGCTGGGCTTGCTGCTGCTGCTGCGCCTGTTGCTGCTGTTGTCGGGCGACCATCATCTGTTGCGGGTTCATCTGACCGTTGAACTGCTGGCCGGGGTGCGAGCTGGGTGGGCGCATGCCGCCATTCATTTGAGGATTGCCGGCCATGTTCCCATCCATTTGATTACCCATGCCCTTGAAGAAGTGTGGCGCCATGTTCGGATCCATCTGGTTGCCCATGAAGTTCATGGGGTTGGGGGAGCCGCGCGATTGAGCGCCCTCGGGCAGCGGTGAAGGAATGCCAGCGTTGTTCATCTGTGGAGTGCCTCTCTTCATCTGCTCAGTTGGGTTTGGTGAAGCTCCGGTTCTGGCGCCTTGGGGAGATGTTTCTGGGAAAGGCTGACCATTGGGACCAGGAGGTGCGCCAGGGCCGCCTGGCCCAGCGGGACCGTCTCTGGGCATGGCACCTCCGCCCATGTTATCTTGCTCCTGGCGGGCCATCATGAGCCTCTTCTTGTTCTGCTGCTCCAGAAGCATTAGCTGCATTTGATAGTCCTGCAGAGCGTGGTTACTTCCACCACCGGCTTGGGCACCGCCAGGGCCAGGCCGAATTCCTCCTGGACCCATTTCCCCAGCGTTGTAGTACGCAGCCAGCCCGTTGCCTTCCTGGCCTTGAGCCATCATGGGTGAGCCCTGGCCCTGGGGGCCGGGCGCGTTAGGCATGGTTTTGTTAGGCATCTGGCTAGCCTGATGCTGTTGGAGGTTTGCCGCATATGTGGCAATGGACTTAGCTTGGACAGCAGGTGGTTGGTTTGAGAATGTCGTAAACTGCTGCTGGGTCAGCGATGCCGGGTTGATTCCGTTGGTGATGAGCATCTGCTGAGCTTGAGCTACGTTCGGGGTGGTCCCCACCTGCTGGCCCGGCATGCCCTGCTGAGGTCTTCCGTTCGGCATCATTCCAGGCTGGTTCGGGAAGTTGGGGGCACCGTCCAGGCGTGGTCTCTTGGAGGGGGAAGGAGCATTTTCACCGGAGCCAGGCGAAGAGGGGCGCTGGCGGTTGCCATCCATGTCCGAAGGATCTCGCTGCATCTGGGTTTGCTTCGCGTGCTGCTGAAGCATTTGCATGGCCTGGGGGCTGTAGGGGGGCCTTAGTTAGCAAACCATGCACACGATGAAGGGAAGCACGAATCTGTAAGGCCTTACTTGTTCTGGTTATTCGCCATGGCTGCCCGTGCCAGGTTGCCCTTTTGCATGTTCATAGCCATACCGCCATTTTGCATGTTGCGCATCATCTGAGAGTGATATTGCTGCTGAGCGGCCATGCCGTCGGGGCGCATCTGGCGGAGAAGTTCTTGCTGTTGGTTCTGTCGCATGCGGGATTGCTGCTATTCAGCTCGGTTAGTGATGATCCAGACATAGACCGAGAAGCGCCGACAGATAATGACGTACCTGAGTATGGCTGACATATTGATTGACGGGACCATTGCCACCCTTTGTTCGTTGCGCGTGGAAAATGTCCCAGAAAAGGCAGAACCATTCGTATAGGAAGGATGATTCTGAGGCAGGCATGGGCAGCTTGGGGGCGGGAAGGTCATCAGGGAGCTTCGCGTCAATGTCGTCTTTGGAGTCGGTGTCCATGGGGTCGTCACCGAGACCATTGCCGATAAGGTTACCGTTCTCGTCCCTCCGGCGATTGGCGCCGTCCTTCATGACATTCACTTGGTGGTCTCCATTAAGGAGGGATCTAGCGCAATCAAACATTTGATGGCGGAGGAAGTACTCGTAGATGTAGGTGTTGAGCAGAGTGCGCTGGCTTTCGGTTGGCATGGTCATCTGTCGTGGACCGCCGGGGACTTGGGGAGCGACTGCGCCATTATTCATCATGGGGACGGGCGCGCCAACAGGGCCACCGCCCATG